TCTATTACAGGAGTTGGGCAAAAAACCACAAACATTTTAAAACAAACCATTGTATCTGTTCAAGCACGTCAAGTCCCATTTAAAACAAGTTTTAAATGTTTAGTTATTCCTAAAATTACAAGCAGAATACCCTCAAACTTTATTAACACGTCAAGCTTAAATATCCCTCATAATCTGATACTAGCAGACCCAACATTCAATGAACCTGGTCCAATCGACATTTTGATTGGTGCTGATCACTTCTGGGATCTGCTCATGGTAGGGCAAGTAAAGCTTGGCAAGCATTTGCCTACATTGCAAAAAACTCAATTTGGTTGGATTGTCTCGGGCACTATACATTCACCCCAATTCATACAACCTTCTAACATTTCTATCTCATGCAATCTGAGTACTTCTGATCAGGCTATTCATTCACAAATAGCTAAATTCTGGGAAATTGAAGAAATCAATGTTCCTAAATCCTCATCTTCAGATGACATTCTCTGTGAAGAACTATTCAAAACTACTACTATTAGAAACTCGTTGGGTCAATTTATCGTCCAACTACCGTTTCAGAAACCGGCTTGCTCTCTTGGCGATTCAAAAGAAGTAGCAACCAAATACTTATTCAATTTAGAAAAGCGATTACAAAGAAATCCTGAACTAAAGGCAAATTATACAGATTTCTTAAGCGAATACGAAGCTCTTGGTCACATGACCAAAATAAATGACTCTGAATTATCAGACAAACCTTGCTATTATTTGCCCCACCACGGTGTGGTAAAGGAGTCTAGCACTACCACCAAGTTAAGAGTGGTTTTCAGTGGATCAGCTATAACAACTAGTGGCTTATCACTTAATGACATTTTAGTAGCTGGTCCAACTATTCAAGATGATCTATTTTCCATAGTTTTGCGAGCAAGAAAACATAATATTATGCTGACTGGAGACATAACTAAAATGTACCGGCAAGTATTGGTAGATGCATCACAACGCTCGCTACAACTTATTCTTTGGAGACCTGATCCTGATTCAGAAATACATACGTATCAATTAAATACGCTTACATACGGTACAGCACCGGCAGCCTTTCTGTCTACAAGATGCTTAAAGGAACTGTCAATACAATGTAAAGATACACATCCAGACATTAGCAGAATAATCGCAAGGGACTTTTACGTTGATGATCTTTGCACAGGGTGTTCATCAATTGATGAAGCAATATACCTTAAACAAAACTTGTCTGAAATTCTCATTTCTGGTGGCTTTCCACTCCGTAAATTCATGTGCAATGCACCGGAAGTACTTTGTGAGCAATCTGAAGGGGATAATACCATATTAAATTTCGGTGAGGATTGCAATAACAAAACTTTAGGTCTTCTTTGGAACTCTCAATCCGACACACTACAATTTTCAATAAAGGCTACTTATAATTCCTGCCCAACTAAACGAAAAATCCTATCTTGTGTCTCTCAAATATTCGACCCATTAGGATTAGTTCAACCTGTAATAATCATAGCAAAATGCATTATTCAAAAATTGTGGCAGCACAAACTTGATTGGGATGAATCAATCCCACAAGACCTTTATACTAGCTGGATTAAATTCCATAATCAACTTCAAGATTTAAATGCATTAAAAATTCCTAGACATGTTCTACCTAACAATCCAGTGCTATTAGAAATCCACGGCTTCTCTGACGCCAGTGAAATGGCATACGGTGCCTGTTTATACATTCGATCCTTAGATTCAGAGGGTACTTATCATTGTCACTTACTTTGCTCTAAAACAAGAGTGGCTCCCCTCAAAACAATTACGATTCCTAGGCTCGAATTGTGCGCCGCATTGTTGCTGGCAGAGTTGGCTCATAAGGTCATAATCTCGTTAGATCTTCCTATTACTCATATCTTCTACTGGTGTGACTCAACTATAGTTTTATCATGGATCAAATCTGTTTCTACCCAGTGGAAAATTTGTGTCGCTAATAGAGTGACACAAATACAATCATTAACAAATTCGGATTCTTGGAGATACGTCAATACTCAAGAAAACCCAGCTGATTTGCTCTCTCAGGGTCTTAGCCCTATGTCTTTAATTGATAATTCTCTATGGTGGAATGGCCCTAAATGGTTGCTGTATCCTAAAGAACAATGGCCCACTAGTGCTTCTAGTACTATAGTCAATTCTGATGCACCTGAGAGACGCAAGGAAAAATTAATTTCTTTTCAGTCTACAGTTACTGAAGGACTGGATCTTATTAACAGATTTTCTAATCTTAACAAGCTTCAACGAGTCACTGCTTACTGTTATCGATTCTTTGATAATTGCCGCTTATCTAAGGTAAATCGAAAATCCGGAGCACTTGATGCTCAAGAACTTAATCATGCTCTATATACTCTTATTAGAACTATTCAAAGGCAAGAGTTTACGACTGAGTATCAAGACTTATCAAAATCTAAACCTATTAACTCTAGAAGTAAAATCTTACGATTAGCCCCATTCTTAGATGACAAGGGTATAATCAGAGTTGGTGGCAGACTTAAACATTCAAAATTTGATTTTCAAAAGAAACATCCTGCGATAATACCCGGTAAACATGTACTTTCTAAATTAATTGTAAAACAAGAACATTTGCGCCTTCTTCATGCAGGGCCACAATTATTACTAGCTTCAATACGAGAACGTTTTTGGCCTACTTCTGGCAGAAATTTAATCAAACAGGTTGTGAGGCAATGCTTACGTTGTTTTCGCTTCAGTGCGTCTCCTATCCCCTATTTAATGGGAGATTTACCAGAGCATCGAGTAACGCCTCAACGACCATTCTATAATACAGGTACAGACTTTTGCGGACCCTTTTTATTAAAGGATCGGCAAACTAGAAATTATAAAACGATCAAGGCTTACGTGTGTATTTTTGTGTGTCTCTCAACGAGAGCTATGCATTTGGAACTTGTAAGCAGTCTTACTACAGACTCTCTTATTGCCACTCTTCGTAGATTTTTCGCTAGAAGAGGTTTAAGCGCAAATATATATTCTGATCATGGCACCAATTTTGTTGGAGCTAAAAATGAGATTTATAAGTTTCTACACACGAGTGAAAATGAAATTCAATGTATTCTAAATTCTGACAATGTAAAATGGCATTTCATACCTCCTCATGCACCGTATTTTGGTGGTATATGGGAAGCGGGAGTTAAATCTACTAAATTTCATTTAAAGAGGGTACTCGGTCAAATCCCACTTTCTTACGAAGATTTCGTAACTGTTCTTCATCAAGTCGAAGCATGTTTAAATTCCCGACCTTTATCCCAGATTTCCAATGATCCCAATGATCCGCAGTCCTTGACACCTGCACACTTCCTAATTGGAGAACGCATTACTGCTTTACCTGACCATGACTATTCTGCAATTAAAGAAAACTTACTCAGCAAGTTTCAACGCCTTCAAAGAATCATCCAAAGTTTCTGGAAGCGATGGTCAAAGGAGTATATTTCCGAGCTCCAACAACGGTCTAAATGGAAAAAGACCTACCCCACAATTTTAAGGCCTGGACTCCTCGTCTTGGTTAAAGAAGATGGAATCCCGCCAATGAAATGGAAAATTGGTATAGTTGAAGTCACTCATCCTGGTGCCGACGGTATAGTCAGAGCTGTTACCATTAGAACTGGCTCCTCCGTATACAAACGACCTGCCATGAAGATATGTGTACTTCCAGAGGATCTTCCTAACCATTAGTTGCTGTTGAAGCCTACCAGCTATCAAGGGGGCCGGTATGTTTAACTGTTGATCGACCCCTGTATAACAGTTGTCGCACACATCGTAGAACCGGTGACCCCTCTCCCCCCGGGCAGCCGCCAGTGTTTGGCCTACGGCGTTGACCTTCGACCGACAACTAGTTTCAGCATTCGAGATTCATTCACTTTGAAATAAAGACTTGTATTCATTTTCAGTGCATATTGTAAATTCAGTTTTTATCTTTTCAATTAAAGTTTTGGAATAACAATTATATGTATAATAATTCATACACTGTAATATACAAAGTATATACAACAATGATGCTTAACAGTGAAGCTACAGGATAACATTGGTTGGTGCTTAATTAACGCTGATGATGTAGTTTAGTAGCAAGTAGTGTTAGTAGGAAATAATGAAAATAACAAAAACTGGAACAGCGGAGGCTGTTAACGATTCAAAGTTTTAATTCACGTATTTTAATTCCATTTGATTTAGAAAACAGTAACTTTTATACAACCCTGTATATGTTAATCTGTATAGCTCGTCATAAGTACTTAGCGTATTTCGTTTTAGAATTTCAAGCGAGTGTCTTGAAATAGTCTCTAGAAAGATAAGTTCAAGTGTCTCTTGAAAAAGAATAAAAATTTAGTGTTTGTTTTACTGCGTTTATCAAGGTTTTGAATTAAGATCGGAGTGAGAAGCACCCACTGGGGAGAGGAAATTTTGATGTACAACTAAACTTTGGTTTAGTACAGTAAAAGTTAAGTAAAAATGTATGTCTTCGTTCACTTGCCACATTATGGATGGTTTTTGATTGCTGAGAAACCTGCCATGGTTAAGGTATTATTGGGAAAAAGTATTTTTTCTATTTAACAAACTACCAAGTATGCAGTAGAAGCAAGTTAAGTGAAAAAATGAAATTCGAAGTAAATTTTTACCTTTTTTATACTGCTTTAGCAGATTATTATTAAGTTGAATATTTCCATTTGATGGTCAATATGGAAAAGGAAACTTCTGTTATTATTCTTATCCTTCTGCTAATGTACCCAGTGTAGTGTAGTGTTAGTGATTTTTAAAAGGGTTACAACCGGTAATTTTTTTATGCTTCGATCACTTTTATTATCATTTTTTTTGTATAACGCACTAAATTTTGTATGTGGAGTGCAAGAACTAAAAAACTACATACATAAGGAATATTGAGGACAAAATAATAAAAAACATTAAAATATAAATACAAAAATACATATATTACGTAAAAACTAACTCATATAATAAAATAGGAACAATTAAAAGAAGTCTTTACAAACTTCAATCACTTTTGGACAATACTTCCTGGCAAAATATAAGTATGGCGCTTTTGAATCTACTGGCAGTTTTCTGTTGGCACTATTGTTGTTCCAAATATGAAGGACATAACTAGAGTTAGTTTGTTCCAGTACTTCATTTAGATAGATCTCGTTAAAATACATCTCCCAAGACGGACCTGATATTGGATAAAACGCTGATTGTGGGAAAAGTCTGAATCCGTGACAAGTATTCGCTTGTATTACTTTGTGTTTTTCCACTCTACATATAGATCTTATCAATCTGAAAATACAAACAGAAAATATTACCAATATTATACATGAGAATGAAAGCATTATCCCTGCATTCGTCGCTATATGAGATTTTATAGTACGCTGTAGTTCCTTCCAGTCACCTAATATTATCCTCCCTCTACAATCGAATAGACTCGTCCGCTCAGATAGTGGTTCAGTTGGCATAGTATTGCCAGAGTATATACCACAAATAGTAGTGTCAATGGAATAGGACGGGTGGGGAGAGTAATTTGCATCGGCCCAGCCGTTCGTAATGCCGACGGCGCTACTAGTCCCATTAGATGAGGGGTATGCATCGAGCAAAAAGACAAAAGGGGGAATGTATAGGTAGTGGGGACAAAAATATTATTAGAAAGGAAGTGCCATCTTGAGAGGCCACTTTAAACAAGGAAAGACAGTCTCTTTCCTTGTATAAGAAATCAAATTTAGTTATGTGATTGTTTGTCCCAACTGCCACATGAAATTTTATTTATATTGAAGTTTTTTACCAATTGTGTCACATTTTAGACTATTATCGTTAATATTTAATTAAAACTTTCTCGTCTGAATAATATTTTATAGCTATTGTTAATAAGTGTCGGAAAATTTAAATTTAGCGCCTTTGAATTTCCGAATATGTCCGCCATCAGAGGCCACTTTTTTGGTCTCCTTTTCATAAAGATTAGATTCCCTCTTTTGTCTTTTTGTTCGATAGGGGTATGACATACCAAGAAACTTATTACTAGACTTCGGCAAATATGCATATATTGCATATTTTGCATATTGTGCATATTTTATGCAAATATTTCATATTTTGGCATATTTGTATAAAAGTTTGCATAAAGTGCATAAAAGGTCAGATTTTTATACTGTATTTGAAAATTTTTAAACATACCAATTTATTTCAATTCTTGTATAAAATTTTGTAGTCATTTTAATCAAGAAATGATCTAAGTATGTAATCTCTACAGGTACAAAACATTTACAATTTCAAAGAAGATCAATTTAAGTAGCCCTCAACATTCTTAGAAAGTCTCGGTCACTGAGGCATTCAGTTATTGGATAATCGCTAAGGGTTCGCTCATTTGCATTTTATGATCTAATCCCCAAATCTATCTACAATTTATTGTATCTTAACAGCAGGTAAACGGCTAATAGTTTTGTTCCTAATTTAGGGATTTTCCAAAATCTCCCAGTTTATTGAATTAGGTACCTGAACATTTCTAATTTGATGCTCAGATTTGTAAATCATTTTTGTTTTGATATTCAAAGCGTAAACACTCGTTGTGCGTAACAAAAAGGAAGATTGTGATTTTATAATGCCTAAAACAACCAGTGCTTCAACTTGGATTAAACCTTATAAAGAGCTGTCTATGGATATGGGAAAAATCTACTGTTTAGTCTGTGGCAAAATTGTAAGTATCTAATATTTTCTATTAAATATCTAATATTTCATACATACAGGGTGTTTCCAAATGACACTTACAACGTTTGACTGTAGATACTTCTCGAAAAATTGAACAAAACGATATAGTTAATGAGGGGTCAAACTTATTTACTTTTCGAGATACAGGGTGTTAAAATTAAAAAAAAATTAAATTCTTTAGTTAATAACAACAATAACTTTAAAACCAATAAACGTATTTACTTGAAATTTAGTACTCGTAGGTTGTTTTTAAATGAAAAATAGCTTCCTGTAGTGAGAAAAAATTGTCCATGGTACAATACAATGGTGTGTATTTAGAAAAAATTTTCACCTCTACTTTTTTTATGATGTCAGCTATTCTAAAACACAATTATTTTTATTGTAATTGAATTAACAAAAAAAAAACTTTTGTTGAATTTTAAAATAAGTTATATGATGTACTAATGGTTAGTAACAAAAACTAATTTGTGGATTAATACTGCATTTAAAACACTTAGCGAGTGTTTTTTTTTTCCAAACCAGTTATTTGATTAACCAAAAACACCTTGTATATTTTTATATTTTAAAGGTTGGGTTAAAATAAAGGTTTTTATTTTTATTTATAGATAGCATGTGAGAAGAAATTTCAGATAGACCAACATGTGAGAACTGCTTCATACATTGCAAAAAAAGGAAAAATAGGAGGAAAACATCAAACTTCAATGGCTAAATGTTTCCAATCTACTTCAAAAAAATTAGATGAGCAAGAAACTTTTAATGAAGACTTGTGTCGCGCATTAGTGTTTGCAAATATACCGCTTTCAAAATTAGCAAATAAATGTAAATTTTAGTTCGTTTCTAAAAAAATATTGCAAACTTAATGTTCCAAGTGATCGGTCTCTAAGAGGAAATAATGTGAACGGGCTATACTCGTCGGTGTTAATTAATATTAAGGAAGAAATTGCAGATAATTATTTTTACATATCTGTAGACGAAACCACTGATTCCTCAGGAAAGTATATTGCTCATTTATTGATTGGTGTTCTTAAAGAAGATACCTTACCAAAATCTCATCTTATTTCATGCCAGCAACTTGAGAAAACAAATGCTTTAACAATTTCGCGTTTTATACAAGAAACATTAGCAACTTTTTTTTCTTCCGACAACTATTCCTTCTAATAAATTACTGCTTATTTTATCGGATGCTGCTCCTTATATGGTGAAAGCAGGACAAAATTTAAAAATATTTTCCCAGATTTAATACATGTTACTTGTGTAGCGCATGGATTAAACAGAGTTGCAGAGGAAATACGAAAAAAGTTTCCTCTTGTAAATGCCATGATATTCAGTGTCAAAAAAGTATTTCTTAAATCTCCTATAAGAATTCAACTTTATAAAGAAATGCTACCTAACATTCCTCTTCCACCACAACCTATTTTAGCGCGATGGGGAACATGGTTAGAAGCAGTTAATTTTTATGCAGATCATTTTGTTAAAATAAAGCACATAATTGATACGTTAACAGATTCTAGACAAACTTTTCAGAGTAACTTGCTTCAACAAGAACTTTCATTTATAAAATCAAATTTTAGTTTTGTTCAAAAAACAATTACTCAGTTAGAATCACCAAAACTGTCATTGTTCGAAAGTACAGCATTAATAAAAGAATTTGCGTCATGTTGTCGGAACGTTAGATTTAATATTGGAAAAGATATTTTAAAAAAATTTGAAGCTACTATGGAAAAAAATAAAGGTTACCATATTCTTTCTGAAGTAGTCAGTGTTCTAGCTGGAAATATTTCGGAAACAATTAATTTAGAACCAAATGTTTTGGTTAGTTTGAAAAATGCTCCCGTTACATCAGTTGATATTGAACGAAGTTTTTCCATATATAAATATATGTACTCAGACAGAAGCCACAAGTTTTTGTTAGAAAATTTTGAACACCACTTGGTCATTTATTGTTACCATAATTCTAAATAAGTTTATTCATACTTAAAAATGATATAGTTACTTAAAATAAATGTAAATCTTAATGAATAGTAGGAAATATTTTGTTATGTACACTTTTTTTTAAATAAAATTGTTACGTTATTTTATTTATTTATCGTGTTATTTTACGATTTTTTTATTTATTTGTATGCATATTTTGTAAAATATTTGCATATTTTCGGGTAAACACGTGCATATTTATGCGCATATTTTCTACATTTTTATTTGCATATTTGCCGAAGTCTACTTATTACGTTGATGTACGTGCTGTTGCCATGGTTTCACTAGTTTTTCATTTCCAAAAAAAATAATGAAGCAAATTCTACTAAAATCACCACTTAAATTTACAATAACTTATTTCTGAAGAACTATGAGTAAATAGGCTATGTATACATCAATTTTTATATATCTAATAAACACTGTTAAAAGAGAAAAAGGTACATTACCAAAATGGTATGGTGTTCCTAATGAAAAGAATATTTTTTGTTGATAGGTAAAAGTTAAAGTTGGACAAATGGCTATTAAACATTCTGCGGATTAGGAGTTTATTTTTACAAGCACCAGGTAAGAACAGCACCTAATTATACAAACCTTTTTTTAGTAAATACAAACTCGATACTATTTTGTACATTTTGTTTTTGTAGTTAAATTACTTTTAAATCTTAACCAACATTAATCTTATATTTATATACTACATATATTTTAAAATCATCTAATAACTCTTAACTCTTATCATTGCATTCCTAAAAGTTGCTTTATTTTATAAAAAAAACTCTTAACTCTTATAACTGCATTACTAAAATTGGCCTTATTTTATAAAAAAAAATTCATACATTCTTAACTTTAATAATATTTCACTATTTTAGATTTTCATGGATCTTTTACTTCTGAGCAATAGTTACAACATGGAGTTACATGCTAATTTGTGATGATTTAGAAATAGAAATGCTAGAGTTTACACTTAGAAGTATGCTTCTACTTACTTAGAAGACTTACTGCTTAGAAGGTATGGAACTTACAATAAACCAGTACTAATGAATATAGAAGTATCTATATTTGTATATCAAAAGGAAGATCTCCAACACGATGGGAAGAATAAATAAAGATTGGTGGAACAATCCCTTCATGAAGTTGTTCATCTGGTACAAAATTGCAGCCAATGGAGACAGCAAGCTAACAATATTTAGAGTGTCTCCACCCACACCTTAACAAAGGCTTCAGGAATGAGGAGGAGGAGGATATTTGTTGTCAATATTTTACCAAGGAAAATTATACCAATAAACAAGTGTCATGATATCTGTGTTTTATTTTGTTTTTGGGACTTTGGTTTGTAATGTAATGAAAACAGATATAATCATAAAATTTTAAATAAAAACTTTTCTATACCATAATATATACACTCTCTGTATCAGATATTATGTTATAAACATGTATAAGTGTATACTATATTTTTGGGCAGAGAGAATATATTTTTTGGCATAGAATAAGTTTTTATTTCTTATTTTATGACTATATTTACTTTCCATTAAAAGCATAGGTACTTTTTGAATTTTTTGGCGCCTAAAATTCAGAGCATATTTTTTTTTAATTTGCCGCCTAAAATTAAGAACCTACGTTTTTGAATTTGCCGCCAAATGAAATTAGTTTCGGCCCGTCCGTATTTGGCGCTAGAAACTCTCTCCCAAAACTTTCTATGGGAGTTACCTTACTAGGGGGGTATATACTTTGAATATTGCCCGATTGTTAAGTCAGTATGCTTCACGTAAGATATTTTCATATCATGAGACCAAAGTATACAAACCATTATTTTATATTGTAGTTGAAATATCAACCGTCCAAAGACAATTTTAAAACTTGCCATGTTGCAGGAAGCGCAAAAGAATAAAGGTCAGGTCTATTTTAGTTCAATAAACATAATAGTATCTCTACATTTTTAGATCAAACTGAACAAACTGAAGATCTCAATGACCAGGTTGAAAGAGGTGATCAACAAGAAAGTGACGCGGGTAACAATACTCCAACATTCTGTGGAAAGAAAAAACCACTAGGTTGTTAAATCATCTTGCTAAAGTGTATGGCTCATTACGTATACAAAGATCGCTAATGTAGTTATCAAAAGCCCAGGTGTGAAGGCTGTAGTACCTACGTGGGGTCAAGACACTCTTAAAATGTTTGAAACTATTTTCCAACAAAATTCTATTCAGGAAATTTTCAACCACACTAACGTCCATTTGGGGCTACTGAGAGACAACTATGGTCGAAGAAGAGATTGTCCAGACACACATTCTGATGAGATACGTGCTTTATTGGACCTTTTCAATTTAGCTGGAGTAAATAAAAGTGAGCTCGTTAATATTTTCGAGCTTTGGACAGATGACGATACTGCCCCTACATGTTTTTATAGCACAATGTGTTCCAGAAGATTTTATATATTACTTCAGGCGTTGAGATTTCACTATCTTACAGATGGAAATATTCGCAACGCATAAGATAATCTGGTGTCCATTAGGAAACAGTTTGATGGTTGCATGTACAAATTATGATATAATAATGGTGATGGAGTAATGGTAGTTTTGGTCTCCAAACCTTTCCCACTCCCCGCATATGTGGATGGGTCTATATATGCGTCTATATTCATTGACACTATAATCTCAAATCTATTAATTAGGTTTTGGAAGAGTGTCTAATTCGCCTTCTTTCCCAGATTTGGCTCCGAATGATTATAATCTATTTCAAATTGCTTAGAGGTAATAGATTTCCTTTAATTTTGAGATAGTTTCTGCTAAAATACTTCGGTCCTTCGATTTACATAAAAATATTGCTAATTTAGATGTTTTATGTAACAATACTTTGTTCTCTTTGTTAGGAAACGTTGTTATCGAACAACCATCGTTTAAAAGAGTAGACAAGTATTAGAATTATGGTTTGTTAATAATACCCTTTACAATATCTTTTAAGTTATACTTTATATAGACCAATAAAAATTCCAACGTACCTAGTTATTACACCAGGGCCGTTATTAGCCCATAACCGTCCGTTAAAATTCTTTTTCAAATCCATAATACACTTTTCTGCCAAAAGATGTCCTTCTACACTTGAGTTAAAACTTAAAATTGCACTATTAACACTCACATTGGTTTCAAGGCCAGCAAAGTTAAGTGGTAGGCCTTCCAATGTTTTTATAGATATTGTGTCAAGGTCTAAATAAATGCCCCCATATTTCCATAAGGAAAGAAACCTAAAATATTAGAAATATATTATAATAATTAGAGTCCGGATTTCTAACCATAATGCTTATGGTAAATAATAAAAGCAGGAATATTTCCCTTTTAAATATGAACGAAACATGCAAAAATAAGTCATTTGACACCACTTTTTTATGATTTTTTTTAATCTGTAAGCATTTTTGAATTTTTGTGCTTATTTGGTGTTTTTTTATATGTATTTTTATCATTTTTGTATTTGACATAATTTTTATATGTTTCTATTCTTCAAAACGTAGTCTGTAAAAGTCTATCAAAAAATATTAATTATACTGACATTTTTGCTAATCTTTATTTGTCAATATTTGTCAACGGCTAGGTCAGTAACAGCAAAACTGACGAAAATCTGGAAAGATGCCGACAAACCTAAAACCAAGAAACTTTGTTTTGTATGTGCATTAATATTCAATATTGCCATGAGAAAGAATGGATGTTAAAACTATGGAGAAAAACAAAACAAGAGAAGATAACAATTAAGCATGTTCCTCCGTCCTCCTGACCTTTCGACATATAACCATAAGCGAATCCATTGTTCCTACGACACTATTTCAGGATGACACGTTGCTGCTGCAGCGTGGGGCTCTATTCTCCTCGTGGTCCACGTGTTGCTACACGAACACCCGTCTGTGTCATCTGAACCACGAACGGAAAGGTGAACGAAGATAAGAATAAGGTCCCAACTTAGCATGTTTGACAAATTGCTGCCGAGAAACCTACTTCTCCACCAGTCGTCTCCAGAGAGTGGATATGTACCGCAAACGCACGGTCTTAATGGGTAAATGACGTGTAGAGTTTGCAGTTTGCTTAACTGCACTTTGGTTATGTAAAATGAGAGTAGAGAGGTCCCACGAAAGCTCGTCTCGGATACTAGGAGCGCAAGAACGTGACCGTAACGACTAAGCACCATGCGTGCGTTCCTGCGAAAAAAACTATGGCTCTTCACCTCTTATTATTTCTCATGAGTCCCCTTTTACGACAGGCAGGAAAAAGGATCCTAGCAGCATTCTATCGCCGCTACTGGACAGCAAGATTGCTGTCCAGTAATCGAGGTTTTGTCCATAACAAAACGAGGACCAGATAATTGCTGGCGAAGAAAGACAACAAGAAAACATGAAATAATTGAATTAAGTTGGAAAAAAGTCAAGGGCAATATCAAAAATAGAGCGAACTAGAGCGAACTTGTATAGAAAACTTCAATGAAATATCACGAAGAGGATGTGCTATGTGAGATTATCACAAGAATTAACTATGCCTCTTGATCTTGTTATATTAGACCAAAATAGGGTCATATAAAACACCAAGGTCGAAGGTCGGTTGTATCGCACTTTTAAAATCAATTGAAGCTGAAAACTTACTGATAACAATAATGTAAAGTAAATATAAAGATTCACCATCTTACCGTAATATATCACTAGCGTGCGAAATCGCATAGCTTGACTGTTCTATCTTTCCATTTTTATATAACCTTTCCAATGGCGTGCCTTCAATATATCTTTCAAAATCAACATGCATTACATGGACATTTTCGTAACTAAGAATAGCTTCTAGTAAATCATCTGACTCATGCCCATCATATTTAAATATTCCTTAAAACATATAAATTATGAATAATACATACAGGTTCTGTGATATCTTCTTCTTTTTATGTAGAAATGACTCTGTCTGTTTTTCAATGTGCCTCCACTAAGTTCCATCGTTTTCGTGGTCTTTTTTGGGGAACCGTCTGTTGCCGTCTTTACCACTCTATTTGTTGTCATTCTGCTTATATGTTCTATTCTACTTTTCTATTTCTTACCCAGCTCTTGATGTTCTCCACCTTGCATGTATGTCGTATATCTGTACTTCTAGCTCTGTCCCATAGTGTTTTGCCATCAATTTTTCAGTGCTTTCATCTCTGTTTTGCTGTTTCTAACATCCTTTTTGTCCCCTCTCTGTCAGGTAGTGTTTCTGTTGCGTAGGTATGTCATTACTGGTTTTATAACTGTTTTGTAAATTCTGCCTTTCATTTCTTTTCCGATATTTTTATTTCTCCATATTGTTTCATTCAGGCAGCCTGCAGCTCTGTTTTTTCTATTTACTTGATCTTCCACTTCAGTTTTGAGCTTTCCGTAGCTCGATAATGTGGTGCCTAGATATTTAAACTCCATCACTTATTCTATTATCTGAACTTCCAGCTCCAGTTTACATCTTAGTCAATTTGCTGTTGTAACCATGCATTTTGTCTCTATTTAACATGTTAAATATTCTAGCGGTTATATTAAATTGGTGCAGCATACTTTTTAAATCGTCTTCATTTTGAGAAAGTAGGATAACGTCGTCTGCATAGCAGATTATTTTAAGTGGTTTTTTTCCCATTTGATTTTCTTTTTTAGTTCTTACTTGTTTTATTAGTTCATCTATAATCAGGTTGAACAATAGAGGACTCAGGGAATCTCCCTGTCTTATCCCATTGCCAGCTTCAATATGGTCGGTTAGTTCCTCTTCCACTTTTACTTTTATTGTGTTATTTTGGTAGATATTTGCGATCGTTTTGATTATTCCTAGAGGTCTCTCTTGTGTACAATAAGTGGATAACGTCCCTTAATTTGACCCGGTCGAATGCCTTCTTGAGGTCCACGAAACATAGATATGCTGGTTTATTGTATTTTAATAATTTCTCTTGCACTTTTCTCGGTGCATGATCTTGCCTACCTAAAACCTTGTTCTTCTACTAGTGTTATAATTTTATTCAGTTTAATTTTATCACTTTTGTTGTTAATTTTAGTGTTGTGTTTAATAGATTAATTCCTTTTTAATTTTTCGGGTCCAATTTGTCCCCCTTTTTGAAGAGAGGTATTAGGATGCTTGATTTCCATTCTTGAGGAATTCTGTTTTGTTCTATTATTTTTTGGATTAGTTTTAATAGTTGTTTGGTCAGATCTGGTCCTCCATACTTTAGAAGTTCGTTCGGTATTTAGTCTTCTCCTGGTGATTTTTTATTTTTTCATTTCCTTAATGTTCCTTTACCTCTTCCTCGTCAATACTTATTTCTTCGTTTGTCGTCACCTCTGGTGTTGGTAGTTCATTATCGTCACCTTTAGCAAATAGGGATCGAAAGTAGTCTATCCATGTTTTCTTCTGAATGTGTTTCATTTTTATTAGTTCGTTCAATTCTTTTCTTTGTCCTCTGATTATTCTCCATGTTTCTTTTTGTGTTCTGTAAAAGTCGTGTTGCATATGTTTTGAAAAGCTCTGCTAGTGTTTCCTTTTTATTTGTCTAACTAAAGTATTTGTTTCATTTCTGATTCGTTTATAGTAATGCCTGTTGTGTTTGTTGTGTTCTGTATTGTAAAAAGGCTTTCTTCTTTTCTTCACATTTTGTCTTCACTTCCTCTCTAAACCATGGTGTTTTCTTTTTTAATATGCTAGTTTTCGTTACTTTCCTCTCTCCAAGTGATTCTGTTCTGTCCCAGCTTTCCTCGATATTATCGTTTTCTAATATTTCATTCACAGCGATCTTCTCTGATGTTCTTTTTCTGTATAAGTATTCCGTGGATTCCGTATTTAGTCCCTCGACTTTGATTTTTGTTTGTGTTGGCGCTGCTCTCTTGGGTATTTCAGGATGATTCTTATTTTACATAATACTAGGCTACGGTCGCTACCTACATCTTCTGAGTTTAGGCATCTTGCTATTAAATTTATATTTGTGTTATTTTTTGTGGTCAAAAAATTTGTTGTTTATTCTAAGTTTGTTATTCGTGCAGAAGTTTATCATCTGTTCTTCATTTTCGTTTTTAACATTCTCGTTATGTTTTTGCATAATTCCGGGAATTACTTTATTGCCTATTCGAGCGTTGAAATCCCCCAATATTATTATCTTCCATCTGGTTTGTTCTACTACTTGTTTTAATTGGTCATAAAACGTTTTCCTTGTTGTTTGAGACTTGTTATTTTCTGGGCCGTATACTCTGATGATGTTCAGGTCTTCCTTCTTCATTCTTATCTTTGCTGTGACAATCCTTTCTGATATGTATTGACACTTTTTGATGTAATATAAAGTCATAAATTTTAGGTCTTTTTCACTGGTGCTGTTTTCGGCTCTTTAAAATATAGTAAATCCTTGATGTTACATTAATTCTATATGTATCTTATCTAGTTACGTTGATTTCTTTCTGTATCTTTCCATATCTTTCATTGCCAAGATAGTTTGGGAATGCACTTTTTGCTTGCTCTAAGGATATGACCAAGGAGAGACATAATGATTTCCACTATTTCTCTGTTTTAGAGACACTTGCAGTCTTCGACAAATACCGTCGCCCCTCTTCTTAATTTCTGCTTTCATAATGTTTAGGTCTGTCACCATCATAGCTTAACTGTAATTATAATATTAGAAAATAAACAAAATTGTAAAAATAAATACCTGGTGAAGAATATAGTAAATAAACATCCATATTAGGATTTAATTTCGCAGCGCTCTCTACAGCACAAGCTTGTCTAGCGATAATAAAAATCTTGTTATTATAGTATGACTTGCACGACGTTTCATGGAAGAAAATGGATTTATCCTTACGGGGATGCGAATCTGATATATCAGGGATACTTTCAATCTTAGAACGGTAACATTGTATACTATTCCTTAAGGTTGCCTTTGTGGATTGTTTCTGCTCCTGCACGTCTCTTTTTTGATATATAGTATGCTTGTTAGTTAATTGAACTATACAAATAATTAAACATGCAGCTGTAATAACCACAGCAGTCAATAATGCAATTTTAACCACTCGTCGTCTGATAGAAGCAAAATACATCTTCTTTTCGTTCAAAATTGTTACCTAAAATAATAAGTATATATAAAGAGTTGAAAACAGAAATTTTTTTACTCATCTAATAATGTAATAAATTCAAATACATTTTTCACGTCGTTCTGTACAATTATGTCTCCAAAGTGACACGTAATCGGCCGATTTACACCTCAAACACAGAAGAATCTGCACAGAA